TATCTGTATGTGTGTGTATGTGTGTGTGTGTGTGTGTGTGTGTGTGTGTGTGTATCTGCTGCAGTTGCATTTACAAGGATATGCCAAAGGATATGCATTGGATGCTGTTTTAATCGCAGCTCCTGCACTAAGTGCTGACTCACTTAAACCAATATTATTATTGAATGGATAATAGAATAGAAGGAATAAACGCAGCTAATGAAGCAACAACAAACATTTTCCTATAGAAAGAAAGACTACTAAGAAAGACATATAGAGAGAGTAGACATCAGATCGATTCAAAAAGATAAATACCTTCGTAGTGGGTATTTGGTTTTGGTGGCAAAAGCGGAAAGGAAAATTGTTGCTGTTCCTATTAAATATATATATTTATATAGAGCAACATTGGTATATTTGATTTGTCGAGCAATATCGCGCTCAATTTCTAGGTTCTTGGTGTCCACTGTACTGACAGACCTAGATAAAGAGGAATATAGATATCGCAGCAGAGGAGAAAACATGATAACTAATATTTGATTTATTTTTTTTTTTTTTACATTTCGCCGCATATATATGTGTGTGTGTGTGTTTTTTTTTTACCTTGTTTTCTTTATTTTTATTCATTTATTGTTGTTTCCTTCCCCCGGCAAACTTATCAGCAGACTTTGACATCGGGGACATGTAAATAATTTATATGGCATACCCTGGTATATGTGTAATTTATGGCAGGGTACACACACACACACACACATGTATGAGCTCGAGGTGTTAGTTATAATTGTGCTCCGTCCTCGCTCTTATCAATATCAGAGAAAGACAGCAGAAAGTGTGTGTGTGTGAGAGAGCGAGAGAGAGAAAGGGAAGGCAACGATCGACCTATCTTGTTGTTGTTGTTGTTGTTGCCATGCAAATTCTCAAGATTTTTCTAGTTGAGTTATTGAAATTAAATGGAATAATTATAGTACGTTAATTGTATGACATAACATATCTAATTATAAAAGTATATTCCGGTATGAATCCAATATCTTCTTTAACAGTTCAGTTAGGTTTGAAATCTATTTGGCAACGTTTAAGCCCTTAGAGCTATATTTTAATGACATCTTTAAAGCATTTGCAGTAAACTAATAAACCGTTTGGTATACTGATAGCTGAATCTCTTAAATCTTTATAAAGGCCACTTTATAGCATTATCCGTATCTCACTATAATATATATAATACATATAATACTATGTATACTATTATACTATGTATAATATAATGTTCTAAATTACGGTTATATGTATGCTTAAATACATTTATCTATGTAAACCGTTAGCTTGATCTATCTTATGTCGAGTCGAAGAAAAAATACTTTTCATTACCTTTCATTTTACTTTTTTATTTTTTATTTTTATTATTTGATGTTATTTCGTGGCTTGTTGCCTGTTATCAGTACAGCGGGCAGTTCAATGTAAATAGTAATAAACTTATTTACACCCACCCACACATACACACACATCCAAACACACACGCACAGGCACAACTAATTGCTGTTTGCTTTGCGCGCAATTTTATTTTCTGTAAGAACTGAAACCAACTTTTGTCGACGCACACAGCGAGAAGTAGAAGCTCTATCTCTTTCTATCTATCTATACCTTGCTCTCTCTCTTTCTTGAAGGCCGCCACGTTTAGTTCGTTGCATGTTGCAGTTTATGCTGCGCCCAAAGATAAGAGGCCACTAATCTCTATCTGCGTCTATCTATTTGCCTCCTTATAGATGTTTACTCTACCCGCAAATAAATAAAACTGCATTGACATAGTAAAAAATAAATATAAAAACAGAAGAGAAGAACAAGCAGAACAATGATAAATAGTTGAGAGAAAAACACGATATTGAAATAAAAACGCTGCGAAGCAAACAAACGACGCTCATAAACATTTAATTAACTTTTATGAACTGCGTACAAAGCGGGGCGAATGCAGTTTTGAATACTCTAACTAATGTTGAATTGCATAAATAACTGCAATCACTAAAGACTAGGCCTCATCTAGATGAGTACTTCCAGTGAAGAAAAAGATATTATTAAGCTTTAAAGATCAAGAGCTCTTAAATTGCTGACATCCAGTGAAATGAATCATATTCAATTTAGTCTACATAAATATTTCGTAAACAAAATAATTAAATTATTTATTTATCTTTATTTAAGCATTGCCAAGTCAGCAAAATGAGTTCGGGGAATCATAAATCATTCAATGCTAACAATTTTATGCGTCTCAAAATGCTTAAATATGCGAGCTGAATATAAACCCTAATTGAATAGAAATCTGTTCCGAATACATACTAAACAGCAAACTCACTTTGCAGACTGGGTTTGCTGTCCTCCTCTCATTCTTCATATTTTCTTATCTATTTTTGAATAAATCATTTCGTGAGTTCAATTAGAGATTACCCATTTATCATTTATGTATATTGATATTATATCTAATTAAATTATTTGCGCAACTTTGCCTCAGAGTTTCTTCGCTTTCTATACCTCAAAATTAGCCTCTGCCTCTCTCCCTCCGATTCAAATTTGAGTTGGGCAACATTTCTATCAATTAGGGTATTTACCATTCGATGTTGCCTAAATGGAGTTTTCCATTTTGTGTGTTTTATACACGTATGCATAAATAACTAAAGCCCGTTTGTCATTGCAATTGTAGTTCGTGTTGTTGCTGTTGTTGTTAGCCATGGCCTATGCAAACACTGTGCAACGAGACAAAAAATATGTACCTTGATTATTGCCATAGCAATAGATATATACATATAAAAAAAACTGTCTGTGTGTGCCTTTTTTTGGGAATATTATCATAAGAAAAAAATTGCACAAATAATTGCCAATTTTTCCGATTTTCAATTGCGTGCAAATTTATTTAAATGTAATTTATTTATGCCTTTTTTCTGGCACCTGCGACATGCAAATATTTTTAGAAAGCATTCGCAGAGAGGGCCTCCCCAGCTGAGCTCCACTCCGTTTGGGTAAATATGCACACATACATACATACATACATAAATGGCTCCAAACTCTGTTTGCACAAATTATTTCGTTGCTTTGTCACCAGCTGAGGCCGAGAGGCATTTGAATGCCAATTGGACGGCTCCTTGTTGTAGTTGGGTTTGTTTGCATTGCATTATGCTGGCCAAGACACGCACACACACAGAGACACGCTGGGAAAATATTTTACACATGTGGAAAATATAAATCATATTTTTGCTGGCAATTTGCACAAACGATTTGGTTTGTTGTTCTATGCAGACTTTCTGTTTGTCTCTTTGTCTGTTTGTCTGTTTGTGCAACATTTATTTATTGTTGTCTGCGCAAATTCGAGAAGTAAGCCTCTTTAATTGGCCAATCCGTATCACTAGACAATCTGTGCACACATAACTATGCAGTTAAAAAGCCAAAAGCATTTCGACTCCAATTCAAGAATTAAATTCTTCCAATTAGACCAATTACATTGCGATTTGATAAAGACGTCCACTTGGAGCGAAAGTATTATCAGTCTCAGCCAGCGTATTGGCCAAGCATATAAATTGAAACTCGAGCGAAATTGATTAATCGATTGAATGAGTCGAATTTAGAAACTGAAGAGGTTCTTGATGACAATTAGTAACGATTTATATATTAAAATATATATAAGTAGATTATTAGATTAAATACATGCACATATACTATAATGCGTATTTATTTATTTATGAAAGCATTTAGAATAAAATGCCAACACATTTTATGTTGATTTTTAAATAATTTCTGATAAATCGTTATCAATTTATAAAAAAGAAAAGAATCTATACGTTCTTAATTTAAAATTATATTGAATAGTAATTATGTTAGATAATTTATGGAAGAGATGAATGTTTCTTCTATACATAAACACACTCAGCAGACTTAGTTATATCCAAAAGAGAAATGAAAGAGTTTAGGGTAGTACAGGATAATATATATTAACTATCCTGAGGATAGGATAGGAGAGGATAGTTAGTATATAGTTAAATTACAATTTATATATTAACTATCCTAACCTATCCTATCCTAGCCTATCCTATCCTAGTTAACTAACTATTCTATCCTATCGTATCCTATCCTCTCCTATTCCTTAACTATTTCAATTTACTGTATGAGCCAGTGTAAATTGAATTAATATTCCAGAAGTTTCTTAGCCTTAAACTCTTTTCGAGAATATCTCAAATATTTGGTATTCGATTAAAGAAGTAAGCATCGTCGCTGAGTAAGAATCGCAACTGCAGCTATCAAATACAAATAGCTCAGGAGCAGCGACAAAAGTCTTTTATAAACATAAATTGCCAGAGCCTTTAATGGTGCGCGCAACATATTTTAGACCAAGTAGCAACTGCAGCAGCAGCAGCAGCAGCAGCAACAACAACAACAATAAATGGCAACCGCAGCTGTTATTTCTCATTGTTGTTGTTGCTGCTGCATTTTTGCCATGCTCGTTTTTTTTTATGTATTCGGCTGCACAAATAAATTGCACATAAATCGCTGGCCACATAAATTTTACATGTTGCCGGCGTGCAGACTCGAAAAAAAGAAACAAGTCGAAATTATGTGTCCGCTGCAAGCATAAATTATACCAAGAGCGAGTGTGAGAGAGGGAGAGGGAGAAGGAGAGGGAGAGGGAGAGCGAGAGAGAGGGGGTAGACTGCAGCTGAACGTGCGGCAATTAAAATATTTGCGCGTCTAACAACAAATTTCCTTAATTATAGAAATGAAATCAAATTATTCAACTAATTGCAGCACTAAGTAGAACAGCTCGGAGCAATACAGACTGCGATTGCAATTGCATAATTAGGGCTTCGAGTAGAACGCATTGCCGCTGGGCAAACAGTGATAAAACTCGAGGCACAAACTCTGCCGTTGCGAAGGTCAGCCGCCCATAAAGCTGCGACACGGGCAACGAAAGCAACAACTGTTTATTGCTGCCTCTGCTCAGATATCTGAATGTGTTTTAACAATTTGTCAACTTTTTATTTTATTTGCAGTCACGCGCCCGCAAAACCTCCACCAAAGCAAATAAACTGAATGCATCCGCCGTTGGCATTGCAGCCGCATCAGCAACATCGCCGCGTCTAAGTCCAGCGCCAGCAACAGCAACATTGTTGCCGCAGCAATCGCCAAATACCACAACAGCAACAGTTGCAGCCGCCGGCAGCTTGCAGCAGCAGCAACAGTATCAGCAGCAGCAACTGCAGCAGCAATTGTTGTCGCACCAGCAACAGCCGCAGCCGCAGCAGCAGCTTCAACAGCAACATCAGCAGCAGTCGCAGCACTATCAGCAGCAGCCGGAGCCGCAGCAGCATTTCCATCAGCAGCAACACTTGCAGCAGCAGCAGCATCAATCGCAGCATCACCAGCAGCAGCACGCACAGCAGCAACAGCAGCAACATTTGCACCAGCAGCAACATCAAATAACCGCACAAATACAAACCATGAAGGATCAACCGCAGCAACCCATGGTGAGTACACCGAACATTCATCGAACAGTTTCAAACTATATTTTCTGTTTGCAATCGGAACTTCCAATTAAAACAACAACAACAGCAACGGCAACAGCAACGAGCATTGACCTTCAATCAGTTCATCTGCTGCAAAATGAAATGAATTAAAAACAACAATGGCAAATAACATAAATTAAAACTCAATAGCGCCGCTGGCCAACATTGCGTATACGTCACACACGTCCAATCAGCTGCAGCTGTGCACACGAATCGAAAGCAAATAAATGCTGTGCAGAGGGACGGACGCAAAAGCAAGCTACGCACACACACCCACAGACAGACACAGACAGACACACACAGACAGGCACACATACACACATGTGTTCATTCATAAACAATTTTTCGATTTTTATCAATGATTGCTAAATGCTTTCAAAAATAAAACGCAAACCACACAGCAACAACAAGAGCAGCTGTCATCACCAGGTGCACATTTCCACACACACACACATACGCTCACACACACATACAGATACAGTCTATTTTCACAACATAAATTACAAACACAACCCCAAAGCCAAATGGACTATAAAACTTGGCCCAGCACAAAAATAAAGTAAAATAAAATAAAAATTTGAATATTTCATATTTTAATAAATATATACATATACATGTACAGCTATATATATTTATTCGATTTTATTGTGTATCTGACAGTGGCTGCTGTCAGTTTGTGTACCTCTGTATGCTCACGACTTTCACTTTCATAATTCCGACACCCGAATGCTGTAGTCTAATTCCAAGCGCAGGCCGGAGTTGAATGCCATAAATATTTGGCATGTTATAGTTGTTATTGCTGATGTTGTTGTTGTTGTTGTTGCTTTGTTTAGATATTATTTCTGTGCGTTTATTTGTTTTTGAAGCCGGGCCAATTAATATGCCGCCTAATTGGGGTGCGGCTTATTTGATTTACGCCCCGCAGCAACAGGAACAAATAAAAACAACGGAAACAGAAAAGCAATTTTTAACAGGCAACTCCTGATGATGGCCTATGTGAAGGGTTGGTAAGAGAGGGAGAAAGCGAGAGCGAGAGTGAGAGCGACAGAGAGGGAGAGAAGGGCCTCCTAAGGGCCCAAAGTGGGTTGGTTGGTTGCTAACTACATATTTCGAGCTATATCATAATCAGGTTTGCCTAATAGTTTGTAACTAAATATGTAACTAGGCAGGGTTACATTTCTGGTGTTGTTTGTTTCGTGCGAAAATATGGGGGTGAAAAGGGTAGGACATGGGAAATAGAGCGTGGATATGTTCCATATTACTAGGAGGGACAATGAATAACTAACTAAATACGAAAATGTTAAGCATTAAGACTTGTAGGACTTGAGAAATTTCTTCACTGAATAGGCAATCCAGCATCTTCTTAATTTGATAAAAATATTTATTTATAATGTATATACATAATATTATGTACATACATATATTATTGCTCCAGTTGTGCTATATATATCTAAATAATTATCCAATATCGAAATTCTGTAGATATAGATTGTATTTCAAATCGATTTCGAAAGCTTGTCTTGAAAATAGACTAGAAAGAAATATTACTTGAATATGGGATCAATCAAAACACAGTCAGACTAAGAACACGAAAATATCTAAGGGGTAGTTCTGTATCCACATGGGAAAGAATTTACCTACATGGATTAATCTCAATTCTCGTCTTGAAAAAAGACTGGGGAGAATTGTTAGCTGAATAAGTAATCCAATAACTTTTAGATATACATAAAAACATTTCTGTGTGTATGTGTTTTTGTACTATTCCTAACTGAACAATATTATAAAGTAGTCTTTACTCACATATAATCCATGCACAAATTGTTCATCCCGCAGGCACCCATGGCCTTCTATCCCACATGGCAGGCGGACCCGTCACAGGGGTGGCAGAACCAGTTCATACAGCAAATACCACAGAATACTCCAGCCATCACATCACTCAACTCCTTGGATTTCCAGACACAGTCCTACGCCTATCCATCAAATGGCTACGTGCAGACGGGTCTCGGCTTCGATCCCAACTACGGCCGCTCCCCGTACGGTGCGCCCGTGCAGCGCTACGATTTCCAAAGCCAGCAGCTCTCGAGTGCGCCCATCAACCAGGTGGGTCTGCAGAGCGTCGCGGCGGGCTTTCCGCCGGGCGGTGTTAGCTATGCCGGGCAGGTGTCTACGGCGCCGGCGCCACCAGCAGTTGGCCTGCAGCAGCAACAGCAGCAGCAGCAACAGCATCTGGGCGGCGATCTGAGCAAGAGCATGTCGGGAAACGACACGCCTGGATATCCGCGGGTGAGCAGCGTGCCGCCGCGCTCACTCAACTGTAACGGGTATCCAGGCGATTTCAGCGGTTCTCAGCAACAACAACAGCCACAACAACAACAACAACAGACGACAACAGCAACGCCCAGCGGTGCAGCCACGCCCACAGCCACTGGGCCTGGTAATGCGGTGGTTTCCCAGCCAGCCAGCTCTCCCATGCAGCAGCAGCCCCAAACGGTGCCGCCATCCCCCACACGCAGCCTCATACAGCAGCAGCAGCAGCAGCAGCAGCAACAACAGCAGCAGCAACAGCAGCAACAACAGCAACAGCAGCAGCCACGCCTTGTCTCCCAGTCGCCCAGTCAAGTGCCGCAATCACCGAACGGCAACGGACTTCAGCCGTACGGCAGCAGCGTGCAGCCCCAGCAGCAGCAGCAGACACATCCACATCTTGCCTCGCCGCCCATGCAGGACTGGAACTGGAGCAATCAGCAGCAGCAGCAGCAACAGCAACAGCCGCCCTCTGCACAGCAGCAGCAGCTGACGAACGATGGCTACCCGGCGCAGGGTCAGGGCGAACGCTTGCATCTGAATACGCGCATCAAGTCGATGATCATGCGCAAGAGTGATTCCAAGGATGCCCCGCCCGACATTCAGCTGCAAGGCCAGACAGCTGGCGCAACTGCCGCGCAGCAGCAGCAGCAGCAACAGCAACAGCAACCCGGTCATTTTTTATCGTATAGCCACCATCTCCGGCCCGACACGGCGCTGAGCGCCAACGGCTCGAGCAGCATCGCACCCCCGCTGGGCGGTGCCGAGCCCATCGGAGGTGGTGGCGATCAGATCTGGAAGCCGCACCACGCCAACTCATTTAAGAAGCCCAGCGTGGGCAGCGGCTACGCCGGCACAGACCATCAGTTGCAGCTGCAGCTGCAGCAACAYCAGCCAGGACAGCACATGACCATCAGCCATGCGGAGCAGCCGCCCCAGCCACCTTCCATGCCCATACAGCCGCCGGTGCAGCCTCAGCCCAAGAAGTCGCGGAATCGCAGCAAGGCGAGCCGCGCCGCTGCCGCTGCCGCAGAAGCAGCGGCTGCTGAGATTGAAAGGGATCGCAATGCGAACGATCCGGGTGGCGGAGGCCTCAAGGCCCTGGGCGCACACTATCCGCCACCGCCGGGCAGCGGGCAGGAGTACCACGGCCAGTATATCAAAACGGAGCCGGGCCTGTTGCCCCCTCCGCCGCCAGGCGGGCAGCCCAACAAGATGGAGGGCTACGAGCGCAACTACCAGAACTTCATTCAGTATGCCGACTTCTGCCAGAACGACGGACAGGGCCAGCCGGTGCAGCAGCACCAGCAGGAGTATGCCGGCTACCACCACAACTCGCCGTACTACAGCGCAGGAGCCGGCAGCTTCCAGCAGAACTTTCAGCAGAGCTTTGTGCCCGGCTATCAGGCAGCAGCGGCGTACGGGAGCCGTGGTAAGCTGCCATCGAACTCTGTGCACCACGCGCCCCACGGCCACGGTCACGGGCACGGCAACAGCATGCTGGAGCTGGACCGGAAGCCGGACACGAACAGCATCATACCACTGCCCACCAACTACGAGCAGGACATACCAGCGCACGCGTACCCCATTCCGGCTCATCGCTATGCGCTGGGCCATGGAGCACCACCGCCTCCGCCCCACCTCAGCCACCACGGCATGCTGGACTCCAAGCTGGACGACATGGGCATGCTGGGCCATGGTCACGGCCACGGCCATGGCTATCCGTATCTGGGTGAGGGTAAGCCGCTGAACAATGGCTTCTCCTGCTGTCGTCAAGGCGGCACCCGGCCACCCACAGAGGAGCACCTTAAGGGCGGCACGTGCCTGGGCCTGGGCATTCAGCCCAAGGAGGAGCTCCTGGACGAGGATGAGTTGGCCGAGGCGCACAATGGCGTCAAGGCCAAGACGAAGAAGCAAAAGCAGGAGGAGATACCTGAGATAATTGTGAAGCACGAGAAGATCAATCCCATGTTCGATACGACGGATCGCCTCGAGAAGGGCAACAAAACCGAAATACCCGAATGCGAGTGCTTCCAGTCCGACAAGAATCCACCCGAGCCGGGCACTTACTATACGCATTTGGGTAAGTAAAAGAATCTAATGGAACTGGGGAGTAACTAGGGCTAAGACTAGTTGAAGTGGAGCAGGTGGCTCCTTGAAGTATAATGGGAAGCCTTTGAATTTGACCTAATCGTTGTTTCGTCCATCATAGGCACTGCATCTACGCTGATGGAGCTGCGTCGGGAGTTCGAGGAACGGTGCCATCTGACGGGTCGTCAGCTGCGCATCGAGAAGATCGTCTACACGGGCAAGGAGGGCAAGACCACTCAGGGCTGCCCGGTGGCCAAGTGGGTGATCAGGCGCGCCGATCCCGAGGAGAAGATACTTGTGGTTGTCAAGAAGCGTCCCGGTCACAGGTAAGCCAGCCACATCCATAGCCATGAAGCAGTGTGAGTGCAACGTGAGTCCCGTTTCAGGTGCATTGCCGCCTATATTGTCGTATGCATGGTGGCCTGGGATGGGATGCCGCGCAAGGAGGCGGACGAAGCCTATGTGAACCTCATACCCAAGCTCAACAAGTTCGGGCTACCCACGACGCGCCGTTGCGCGACTAATGAGAATCGCACCTGTGCCTGCCAAGGTAAGCGCACCTGCCGCCAGCCCACTGTTATGCGTTACTTATTGAGCTATTGCAGGGCTGGATCCGGAGTCATCAGGCGCCTCGTACAGCTTTGGCTGCAGCTGGTCCATGTACTACAATGGCTGCAAGTACGCCCGCTCGAAGACCGTGCGCAAGTTCCGGCTGTCGGTGAAGAGCGAGGAGGCGGCCATCGAGGACCACATGAATCTGATTGCCACGCTGCTGGCGCCAGTGTTCAAGCAGGTGTGTCCGCGCTCCTACGACAATCAGACCAAGTACGAGCATGAGGCATCCGACTGCCGGCTCGGCCTCGAGCCGGGCAAGCCCTTCTCGGGGGTAACCGCCTGCCTGGACTTCTGCGCCCACTCGCACCGCGACCTGCACAACATGCAGGACGGCTGCACCGTTCACGTGGCCCTGCTCAAGCCCAGCAACCGCGATACCCACCTGCCCGACGACGAGCAGTTCCACGTCCTGCCGCTCTACACGATGGACGGCACCGACGAGTTCGAGAGCGTCGAGGGGCAGCGTGATAAGCATCGCACCGGGGCTGTGCAAATGCTGGACAAGTGAGTGTAGTGTTGAGTTTTGAGCTACCAACTGCAGCTCGGACTGTTGGTGACTAGCATTAATCCGTCTCCTTCTCCCACTCGTAGATTTCCCTGCGAAGTACGCGTGCGCTCCACGCCGCTGATACCTTGTCGCCGGCACGGCAAGAAGCGCAAGGAGGACGAAGCCGCGACGCCGGATGGCGACCACGACGCCGCCGCCGACGGCAGCAGTCAGAGCTCCAGCAACGGCGCCCAATCGCAGGCCCAGCAAGCGTCGTCCCAGCAGAGCAGTCCGCCCGGCCTGGCCTCTGCTCACATCAAGAAGGAGAACGGCGCCAGCAATGGCAGCAGCGCCGGCAACAATGCCAGCAACAGCAACAACAACAACAAATCAAAGTCCAAGGCCAAGTCGAGCTCCAGTGCATCCACGCCGGGCTCGGCGCCGCCAACGACGCCCTCGCCACGCTGCCAGACGCCCGTCACAAACAACCCCAGTCCGGCGGGCAGCGCATTCAGCACGCCGCCCGTCAATCAGCACGCCGGCAATCCGAACGCCAGCAACAACAGCTCGGCAGCAGGAGTTGGGGCAGGTCCGCCGGGCGGGCAGCCCAACCAGCTGATGAGCTCGAACTCGAGCCTCATGAACATGGCCACGATGATAGACACGTTCACGGACGCCCAGCTACAGTCCAACCAGATCTCGAGCACCGTGCTGGACTCGCCCTACTCCTACGACTACCAGACGGGCTCCTACATCGACTCGCGCAACTACTACGGCAACTGGCCGGCCCACGCCATGGGCATGGCCGCTGGCAGTGCGGCCCTCACGCCGACCACGCCCACTGCGCCGATGGCGCAGCACGCGCACACTGTGACGCCACCAACAGCAGCAGCGGGAGCTTCTGCAGCTGCAGCGACAGCGGCCTCGGCAACAACCGTTTCTCCAGCCGCAACAGGCACAGCTATGCCACCCGTCACGCCCGCCACGGTGACGCCCACGCCCACGCAGCACGACGCTAGCAATGGCTACACGTCCAGCTACAACAATCTGGCAACGCCAGCACTGGGCACACAGCAACACCAGCAGCAGCAGCAGCAGCTGCAACAGCAGCAACATCAGCAGCAGCAACAACTACAGCAGCAACAGCATCAACAAAAACAACAGCAACAGCAGCAACAACAACAGCAACAGCAGCAGCAACAACAGCAACAACAACAGCAGAGCGGTGTCGATGTGGCCGGCGCTGTTGCTGGTGGTGAGCTTAAGGGCCGCGTCAGCGAGGAGAACCCCGACTCGACGACGCTGGTCAACCACTCACTGGTCGAGAGTAAGTTAACCGCTTTGACAGCCATGCAACCCATGACTAATCTAGCACCACTCCACCACCACCACCACCACCATCCGCACACGCCAGAGGGCTTCGTYAAGCCAAAGCCGCCGCCCAGCGACTACCAGTACTCGCAGTACCCGAACAACTATCAGATGTACCCGCCTCCGCCGCCGCCGCACTCCGCCTACTCCGCGTACGACGCCTACCAGAACATGAACTACAACTACGGCTACCACCACCAGGCGTACTCGCCGTACGGCATGTATCCGCAGCAGACGCCGCCGCCCACGCCGCCACCGCCCTCGCCCAACTGGAATGTCTACGGCCATCACCAGGGCTCTGGGGGCTACGGCCCGGGGGCTGGAGGGGCTGGTGGGACACTACTGGCCACGCACGGCCCGGTGCCATCCGGAGCCACGCTGGTCAAGCCAACGGTGCCAACCGCTGTGCCGCAGCAGCAACAGCAGCAGCAACAACAACAGCAACAGCAGCTGCAGCAGCCGCAGCAACAGCAGCTGCAACAGCAACAGCAACAGCAGCAGCAACAGTTGCCAGCAACACCGCCTCAAACTATTTTGCCCGACTTGAGCAATGGCCAGCTGCCCGTGGAGCCCACTGCAGCAAGTGCTGTTGAGGTGCCGCCGCTTGGCAACAACAGCAACAATAGCAACAGCAGCAACAGCAACAGCAACGATGCCAACAGCAACGCGGCTGGCGCTGGCGGCAACACGACGGCAACAACTGTGGCGCCAGCCAGCACCAACTCGACCAAGATCGAGCCGATTGGCGAGGTGGCCGAGATCAATGAGAACATTGAGGCGTTCCAGGATCCGCAGATGGGCGGCGTGGCCATTGCGCTGAATCACGGCAGCGTGCTGATCGAGTGCGCCAAGCACGAGATGCATGCGACGACAGCCGTGCGGCGACCGGATCGCCACCACCCGACGCGCATGACCCTGATCTTCTACCAGCACCGCAACTTGAATCGTGCCAGGCACGGCATCGACGAGTGGGAGGAGAAGATGCGCGTGAAGAAGATCAACACGGACCTCGACAACAAAGCCAAAGAGGAGCGCGAGCGTCTGCTGAAGAAGGCAGCCGGCGAGGACGACGAGGACGAGGATATGCCTGACGAGCAGCTGGCGGCGACTGCAACCCCGACCCTGCCCACCATCAAGAAGGAGAACAGTGGGAGTGGTGGCGCGATTAAGAATGGGGCCAGTGGCAGCAAGAAGAAGAAGAGCGAGGCCAGCAAGAAGACACAGTCGAACAACAACAACAGCASCAACAACAACAACAACAATAGCGAGCAGCCAAAAAACGAGAAAGTTGCCCTCCACGCACCAACACTAACAACAACGTCGTGGACGACCCTGTTCCCTATGCACCCATGCGTAGTTACGGGGCCCTACCAGGAGGGCAATAGCAGTCCAACATCGTCCACGAATGGCAGCGCCACCAATGGCACCAGCAACAGCAACAGCAACAGCAATGCCAATGGCCCCACAGCGCAGCAGGCAACGACTCCAGGAGCCGTGCCGCCTCCTCCGGCGCCGCAACCGTTGCAGCAAGCCTGAGCGCCTACCACCGCCAGATGGGGATAGGCGCCTACTACTACTGGTAGTTGTTTGACAAACGACTGAAAGATATTCTCATAATAATTATTTTTGTAAACGCGTCCTGATACCGTGTGCCATACGAGGGGGTTGGGGTTGGGGCTGTGGGATTGAGATTAGGTTTGGGGCAGCAGGCAACGCAGTTGCAGTTGGATATACCCGGTCAGCATGCAGTAATACACTACCAAAGCTCCACAACAATAACAGCAACAACAACAACAACAGCAACACACTCACATATACATACATACACTCTCACACAAGCCTAGTTCACGAACTGGATGAAAATGCAGTTAGATTCATATTCATATACATATACATACATACATATAGGAAACGAAGAAGAARAAGAAGAAGAATGAAGAAAAACTATGTTTTTAGCGCAGCTATATTGTTGGCAATTTCTGTTAAATGATTTATTTTTTACATTTTGTTCTCTCCTTCTGTTAAGAATCAAACAAAGCAAACTACAAAACAAACACTAGAAAACGGAAACTGATGAACTAAAAGAAACAACAACAAAAACCTAATAAACTAAATTGCTAAAGTAATGTTTGCTTGAGCTTCTATTATGAGCAAAACAATGACGAAATACAAATACAAATCAAGCAAAACAAAAACAAAAGAATTAATAAATAAAAACACACATTAGTGGAGGGATACTCGTAAAAGATCATTGCCAAAAGTACAAATAAACCAATTTTTAAAGCAAACTAGAAACAACGTAAACAATTTCGCAAACAACTAAACAAAATACAAAACAAAAACACTTATAAATAGTTGCTAACAATTTTTACTACACCGAAATAAAATATATTTTCCATTTAGCTTCTAGCATTCGTCCAATTTGACTCTCTTTTGGCGCTGTTGCATACTTTGCAGCGCCAAGCGAATTCAAATTGGCAGCCAGCAAATGCAGCTCTCTTGGTGCGCGACTCTCTTTCGATCGTCCGCACTCTCTGCGCTCTGCACGCAAGAGAGCTGCATTTGCGACGTTTAAGTTACCGTTAACTGCAAGCACTACATTCACAAGCAAACACCAACACACACACACGCGCAGWCACACAGAACGAGCGTTACAAAGGCGAACTACAAAGCAAAAGAGAAAGGAAGCAAGAGCAAATTTACATACAAACATATWTGTATGTATGTAGTAAGTGTGCGTCAGGCGGAGAAGTGAGCACATGAAGAGCGTAAGGAGAAATAGAGAGGGGGCTGGGGTGGGCAGCATTTTAAGTTAAGCATACGTAAAAAAGCACATAAATAAGCATAACGTGAAGAATGAATGGAAGAAAGGGAGAAGAAAGATAATAAAGCAAAGACGGGAGCAGCGCGTAAAGAATGAAGACATTTTTTAAACCTTATTCATAAATTAAGTTTAAGCTACAACAAAACAAAACAAAACAAAAACAAATATTTAAAAAAAAAACAAAAAAAAAAAAAAAAAAAAAAAAAAAACAAATATACCAGACATACACGTATGAAATAAAGAAAAAGAAATTAAGTTCTATTATTTACATATGCGCGCCCAAAAGGCATAATTTTGTTTCAATTATAATATGCTGTAAATGTTAAAGCAAATTCGAAAAGAAAACTAAAATCCAAAAAA